CGGCACGGTACCCACGGGGCTCGGCGTCCCGCCGCCGCCTGCGGGCTCCTCGGGGCGGCCGCGCCTCTCCTGCCCCGTCTCCGCCGTGCGGAGAGCCGGCCCGAGCCCTCGGAAAGCCCCTCGGTCCCGTCTCCCCGGCGGCAGGACCGGGAGGGGCCGGCGCTCACCTGTGGCTGCCGGCGGGAAGATGCCGCCTCTCTCCGCCGCCGCGGCCCGCGCTGGCGGGCGGCCGCCGTCCGCCGCAGAAGGGTTAAGCACTTGGAAAGCCCATCTTGCCGGGAAGGGACCCCCTGAGGGGTCGATTTGTTCCGCCGCGGGGCACAGCTTGAGGGGCACGGGGTTGGCGGGGAGGGGACGGAGCTGGGTAGGGCTCGGCGCCCCGGCCCGCAGCAAGTTCTCGATGAGGAAACTTTTGCCCAGGTTGCCGAAACCTGGCGCCGCCGGCAGGTTGAGGAGAGCCGAGGAGCCCACCAGGTCCCAGTAAAAGGCGCTGGGCAGCATAGCGAGAGTTTCTACCCTCCTCGCCCTGCCCAGCCCGGCCCGGCCGCCGCGGCCCCTCACTGGGCTGGGACGGGGCGCCGGGCAGTGGGGGCCGGGCGGGCTGGCGGGGCGCCTCCCCGAGGGCTGCGGGCAGCGGAGCGGACGGCTCCGTGAGGCCGTCCGTGGAGACGCCGCGCCTCTCCGCCGGGCTGGAAGGTGTGTCCAAGCGCATTCATTATGTCAGCCGGGGACGAGGAGTGATGGACGCGGCCAACAAAGCCGCCTTGCCCAGCAGCCCCCCGGCCGGGGGCAGGGCGGGAGCTGAGGTGGCTGTCCCGCCGTGCCGCCCCGCCATGGCGGCGGGTCGCGGCTCCGCCGAGGGGTGCACCTGTGCGAGGGGACGGGGCCAAGGGAAAGGCCGCTGGCCTCCGTCCTGGCGGGGAAGCGGCTCCGGTACTGGCCCGGAGAGATCATGTCGACCTAATGATCCCATGAGGTAATGGGAAGATAGTCATTAGCTCACTCCCTCTGGGCATTTTTATCTGGCCTTTTTTTTTTTCTTTCTTTCTTTCTTTAGTTACCCACACATAGCATGCACGCTGGATTTTCAACACTTGTCTTAATAAATCTGATTAAGATCAGCACAGTACTGTTAATCATGTTTTTCTCAAGATGCTGGACAAAGCTTTGTGTGGGCATAAACATTCTTTGTCCGGAATAGCTTGGTCCATTTCTACTCCTTGCATGTATTCTTCATTTGCTTACAAATCACATAATATGGCAAAGATGTCTCATTTTGCAGTTCAAACATGCGTGCAGAAAGTTAAAATTGGATGCTGTTCCAAAGTCCTGAAAACATCTCCCTGTTTTGCAGAGAAATCCTTTTATTTCAAAGCAGCTGTTCACCAGTCTAATCTTGAGACTATTCCCTGCAAAATCCTCTGGAGGAGGTGCATCCCTTATTTTTGTATAGCAGCAGAGGCATAACCCTTGGACATCAGGGTGGTTCAAAACTAAAACCATCTGAACCAGTGGAATCCTCTGTGCCCTTGAACAAGAAATGGGAACAATATCTTAACTGCTGTGATACTGTTGGGAAATATAAATTAGATGCTCACATGTCCAAATATTTCCTTTACATCTTTGAGTAGGTTGGCCCTGCTAGAATTTTGGCACTTAACTCCATTGGTACTAAGATACAGTGAATGGGAGCCTAGAAATTGATAAGGTTGCTTCATGCCAAAGACCCCTGTATTTTGACCTTTTGTCTTACAGCAGTGGCTGTGAGCAGAAAGAAGTCCAAGATGAGTCTGATAGTTTTGCCCTGATACATTCTCATAAGTGTTCTCAGCCTAAACAATTTCCACAGCTTGAACACTTGTATTTGCAAATCTGAAGGCCTTCATCAAAAGATATTAATGCAAGTATTTTACTCGTGAGCATATTGAGACTCTTGCTTCTTGCTGTAGAATGGACAGAATCCAGGCTGTTGAATCCCAGACTACATCTGAAGCTACTGTGCATTGTTGTAGTATAAGGTGCAGAAATTATGTTTCTAAGGGAAAGAAGGAAGTCAGGAGGGCACTGGCTTCTGAGCATTGCAAGTAGCTGCCTTTCCAATTACCCCTCATAAATTTATTCACACTTAAGGATTTATTTTGTCTTTCATTTCACTGATCAAATTCTCAGAGAATTCCCAAGGGCTGGACATACTGAAAACCATAATTCAACACTTGGGATATACAGTTAGTCCATCCAGCTGTGCTGCATTAATAAAAGGTATTCACCAGGGAAATGATGGTTGTCAAAGACTGTAGCCTTCAAAGACAGACTTGGGTTTTGGTTTCATCTGAGGCTACTTTTGATGCCAGAGTGGCTGCTAATGTGTTACTCTCAGCTGTGTATTTTGGTAAAGTATGATTAGCAAGTTTCATGTTTCTGTGAAATATAAGCACAACACACAGAAATACAACACATGTCTGAGTTGGAAGGGACCCACAAGGTTCATTAACACATGTAGCATTTAACTGCATGGAAGAGACTGATCGACCCACATGAGGAGTTAACAATTCATGGCAGGTTGCATCTCTAGTTCCAGGATTTAACGCATGCCTTACAGTCTGTGTTTAAGCAGTGTTTCTGATTTCATCAATCAGTGGCCTCTCACCCATGATCTGACTCTGTTGTCATGGCTGTACTAAAAACCCACCAAATCACAAGACTCAGTTTTTAATAAGACAGGAAATACTATTTTTTGAGAGATTCCCAATGGAGACCTCAAACTGGTTGTGTGATGTTAAGCAAGGGTGGTAGAGCAGAATAGCAAATCATTAAACCAGGGCAGCCTCTGAGCACTTAGTCTCTGGGACACACATCTGCAGCTCTGCTGAGCAGTAGCTACCAAATTCCATCTATCCTCTAGGAATGTGATAAGTGAGGACAGTCAGGCCCAAGAGTTGTTACCTGTCAAGAGCTGGAGAGCACAGCACAAGAAAATATAAATTCCTTCTTCAAATCTGCAGTATGGAATGATTTGAGAGTAAAACAAGTGTCATCCCTAAAATCCAGGAGAGCACAGCACAAGAAAATATAAATTCCTTCTTCAAATCTGCAGTATGGAATGATTTGAGAGTAAAACAAGTGTCATCCCTAAAATCCAGATCCTTTCTGGTGAGTAGCTCTTATTTATTTTCATTTGATTCTGCAAACACTCTGTTTTTCCTGACTACAAGTTTTCCCAAAAGCAGCTCCAATCAGCATGGATAAAATGCATAGAATTGATTTAAGAAGAAAAATTAATAATTTAAATGCCCTTTACCTTCTATTAAAATTGGATATGCAAAAACTTCAGCACACCTGCCATTTCTGTTGTGAAGACTTGACATGGTGTGAGCCATCACCTCCATCCATCCACACAATATTCCTCTCTGGCAGCCTGAGATGCTCAAACTTTATGGAAACCATATAGCTTCCATAAAGCCAAGAACAAGGATCTTGATATAGAAACAGATGCACACTTGCAGGAGACAGAGATGAGTTAATTAAATACAGGTCTTTTCTAAGGCTGTCTTTGCTTAGATGTGCTAAAGGCAGCTCTACCCAGTCATAATTTTACTGGACTCTGTGCATGACACTTTAGAAGCATCTATTTGAACTCATTAAGGATTTCCAACTTGGCTTTTCCAGTAAAAATAATAGCATGTTTTCTACATTTCTGCTTGTAAGCTTTGGAGTGACATATTATAGCCAAAGGAATTATACATTAATCCTATCAAAGCATTTTTTGTGATTGATCCTGAGTTTCTCTGGCAAAAAAGGCTTTGGACTTACACATTGAAACGTATTTGTAATAACACAGCTATCTGCCATTTTCCAAGTTTGATGGATTTTCCACACTCTTGGAGATAATTGTCTCACACTGTTTTGTCTAACCTGAGCATGTTAGACAGCAGCATTTAAAGAATGTTCTTCAATGTATTACCGAGTTTGGCAATCTGAGCCTGGGTTACGTCATCACTGCAGAGCTGCTTCAGACTCTTAGGCAGATTTTGCTCTAAATTTCCCCATTCAAAAATTCTCCTTTGACATTTTGGTGGTGATCATTTCATGGGTGTCTTGGTCCAAGAAAGTTACTCAGTCAGGTTATGCTAACCTGGATGCAAACTACTTAGGTTAATTCCAATTCAGAGATATCTCAGAACAGCAATGGTAGAAATAGTGCTCAGTAAACTAGGAGCAAAACTCCAGCTGTGCTGTCACAGCTCAGTATTTTCTCCATTTGTCTCGTAAATATTTTCTGTGCATTGGGAAACATAGTCCATATTCAGAAAATAGAGTAGGAAACAACACTGCTGTCTTGCTCTGAATGCAGCAGCAAATGGACAGCCTCAAGAAGAGCCTGGGTGGGCTTGTGTTGGATACTGGCTTCCTCTGTTGCTGCCTACACAAGCCACTTACAAGCTTCCCAATCATTGTATGCCACAACTGCCTTATGAGGAAGGAGCAAAACTGGCATCCAGCCCACAACATTAGAAGATTTGGGGCACCCTGTTGTTGTAATTCTAATTTCTGAAGGAGGCAGTTTGCCTTGACACTTACTTCTCTTCCTACCTCCCGCTGTTTCTTTTTTTACAGTCCTGACATCCTGAAAGCAATATAAACTTTGCCAGGTTAGTCAGTCTTTTGAAAAATCTAGATTTAACTAAGGAATTTCACAGCACTCCCAGCTGAACTTAACCATTCACCAGGAAACTGCTGTGCTTAGGAGTCACCATCATTCTGAACAAACACAGATGGAATCAGCATTCTTTCAATCCAGTTCCATAAAAAGCTTCAACAGCTCGATTTCAAATGACTGAAGCAATTTCTGTCAAATCTGGCTTGGCATTAGAGCTCAGCAAGTTGCAAAAAAAAATAAGTGAAATATTGAAGTGTGAAAAGAAATTGATTCCCTGTCAAGTTATGTTGCAGATGTGCACAAAATCCTACTGCAGCATGCACCCTGACTTTTGTGTATGATTTTAACATATGTTGAAAGCTAGCTATATGGATGTGACTAAACTTTTTAAACTCTGCTTCTTCCTGCAGAAACCACACATGGAATGCTTCAGTCATACAGGACTTTATTTGGAAATTTCATTTTCCTAGTTTGGAATTTTTTTTCACCCTTGTGACATATCAGGAATAGTACAGAGCATGTGAGAAAGCTTCTATAAAGGAACTTGTAATTCATATTAAATTAGATGGTAGCATGGTCTATTGTTCCCAGTCTGGTACAAAGGATTCAGAAAGAAATATTTAAACCATACAGTGATTTCACAGAAGATGATTTCTATTCCTAAGAATAAATCATATTTACAACTCTGCTGATATGAAATGCACAGCTTCCAATAGTCTGTCCAGTACTGTTTGATATACCTTGGCATGATTTACAGCAGTGTTGAAACTTCAGGCATCTGGTGATATAAAAATCAGAGCAAGATGTTTTCTGAGTGTCTTGGGTCTTTCACACAACTTCTATTTGTGTACATTTTTCCCCTGGGGATAGCGATGGTGTTAGAAATTTTAGTAATTGTT